ACCTAAAGAAGTTAAACTATTGTTTTTGTGAAGTGTATCTGCTAATGCTTTTCCACCATGGGATCCAATTCTGTTACTAGTAAGGTTTAAAGTTGTTATTAAGAGCATTTTTCCTCCATCACAAACAATTTTTCTCTTTTAACATTTATTAGTAAAAAATTTATCTATCATAACTAGTAAAATCTTCTAAATCTGATAGATTAATGGTTTCTGATTCAGTAATGCTGCCATTTTTACGAATTAATTCTTTAACTTTATAACCAAATCAATTATATGAAAGATCTAAAGTTAAATTTGTTTTTGCAAAGAGCATCTGCTAATGTTTCTCCACATTTTGCTGATACCTCAAACCTAGGTTCATTACCACTAAGGGTTGTAAAAACATAGTGTCCTCTACTTTGCTCCAGACAACACATTAATATTCCATTTAAAGATAAATCGATTCGTAAATCATATTTAAAGTAACAAGTAACAATGGTTCGGACTGATAAAAAAATGCCTTGCAAAGATTATCATAAAAAAAATCAAAATAAACTTAATGTGAAGCTTCGTTCAGACAATATAAATATTAGTGAAATAAAATAAAAAATTAATTAAAGAACGTAAATATTTCTTATCATGACAGTTGAATAGAAATGAGATCTTTACAAAATGTTATAAATTAGAAAACTCTAAGCTTACCGCATTGGAAACTCAAATTGAATCACTAATTTCCAAAGTTAACCGATTAGAAAATGATAAAATTTTATATCAAACTGAAAATAATAAACTTAAAGAAGAATTACAACGCATTGCCAGCAGATATGACGACTCAACAAATAACCTACCAGAACAAATAACTGAAACAACAAGTAACCAGCCATTACTAGTTATCGACGTGGGGTTAGAGAATCGAGCAGCAAGTGACGAGGAGGAATCAAGTGATTCAACATGGTTGCTGGTTGAATTCTCAGAACCAAGCACTGAAGAAAGTTCTGAAGAGAGTTCAGACGAACGTAAAAAAAGAAAAGGGTGAATAATATTCGAAAACTGTACAGTAAGAATAAAAATTTGAACCATGTTTATTTGTACTAGTTTCATTTTCCGACGGCCTCTAGTTGTCGTTAGAGAACGAAATATAAAAGGTAGTTTCATATTATGAATGTGGGTCTGTTGACTATTCTGGCTAGTTCGTAGATAAATAAATTTATTTGAATTTTTTTATTTCATTAAAATTGAATTAAATCAAAGAAATACAAATTTTTAAGGAGTCGATAAATAAATATGTAAATTTCTTGTAATTATATTTTCTCTATTTAATAATTGAAATAATTTGAATCAAAAAAAAATAAATCAACTAAATAATAGTTTATACTAACTCAATAATAAAAAGCTCAAAAGAGAATTGCTTTTGAAAATTCTCACTAATCTAGGTTCAAACATTAGTTTACATAAACAATGAAGAATGCATGCTTCTGGTAAGGTGTATTTAGTGTTAATTTTCTTGAAAATATATAAAAAGGTGATAAAAATAATAAAGAAACAAATTAAATATAAATGAAAGAGTAAAAGGCCATATATATAATTTATATTGAGTGTTAGTAAAAAGAACATCAAGAGCATTGATTTTGTCACCAATTTTTTTTAATTCATTCATGGTCAATGAATCTTCTGAAGTAATTGTATCTATATGAACAAAATGATTAATTTCTCTTTACATCACTATCAATTATAATTTCTTACCTTGAGAAGCATCTTCATTTAAAGATTTATTTGTCAGTTGTGATGACCACAGAAATTTCAAATAATAAGCTTGTTGATTTGCCGGAAAGGGCAGAATTCCTAGTTCATATGACATTAAGTTTTATTCGTTTTGTTTGATTGGAAAATAATGTAGTTAATAATTTTGAACTATCACAAGCGTCAGTTGATAAATTTATAGTGTTGACAAATCACGTGTAATTTTTCGTATCTATAAATCATGACTCAGTTGCTGAGTCAACTTATTATTTAGAAAAAAACATATAACCGAATAAACATAGAAGAAACTCGTATCCGATAGATTCCAAAATAATTGTTACACAAATTATTTATATAGTCAATTAAAAATTTGATATACGGCTGTAGTCTAAAAACCATTTGCTTACCCACAGTAAGTTAAACTAAAGGTACCCACATTTATTAGTAAAATTTTTTCTTTTTGAGTGTTTCTAACAGAAAATCTTTTCTAATCGTTTTCAATTGCTTTCCCCAAAGAGTTTTCATTTGAATAAAGGTAGGCGTTTAGTAATTGGCAAAGTTTATTGAGTTTCTACACGTTTAAATTATAATGTTAAATACAGAAATATTAGATTTATAAATTGTTAAACCGTGAATATTATACTAATATAAGATTTTTACGTCTTTATTAAATAGGCTAAGCAATATAAAACATTTATTTTACCTGAATAAAGGCATATATATGTATTATTTATTAAACAAAAGGAAAACCACGATCACTAATATGTAGTAAACATGTGGTGCAATCTAACTACTAGAATATACTAAGGGTTATAACATATAACATGTTTTTGGTAAAATATAATGATTAATAAATCGAGTAAAATTACTTTAGCATTAAAAAAGTTTCGCTTTTGTTAATAATAATAGTTATTTTCACGTATCGAAAGAATTTTTTAATTGATTTGTAACCGAATATAAGTACTTTCAAAATTTTTGAACTACAATCAAGTTTTTTTCTACTAAATATTTTATTTTAGTACTAAAATCGCGTGATAAATTAATACAAGTGTTTTATTTTTAGCGGCTGTCATTTAAATATAATTGTATAAGAAAACTTTATTTATATTTCTTTAATCAAATATTATTATATAATACCATATAAAAAAAGTAATTATGTTATTAACAAAAATATATAAAGCTGAAAAAATAAAAAGAGATGAATATAAAAAAATGGGACGTAAATATGTTAAGAAAATTACTAGATCTGCTAACATCGATTCGTACGAAAGTCTGGCCAAATTTTATGAAAGACAAGTCGAATTTCTCAAGCATGAAAGAAAACGTGTTATAAGATTTTTCAATGATAACAATATACAAGGAGATAATTTGTCTATTAAAGTAGCAAGATTACAAATTTTAATAGATGAAGGTGAAACGAATAAAGCAAGAATTGAAGAACTTTCAAATAATCTTTATAAATGAGATACTGAAATCAAAACCTTAAAAGATAACATTAAACATCTTACAAAAGAAAAAAATGACTTTAAAAAACAATGTAATGATTTGGAGGCCGAGAATAACCAATTAAAACAAAAAATAGAAGAAATGAACGTGGATGCGGAGCGTACAGAAAGACTACATAAACAGGATATGGAAAGAGCAAGAGTACGTAATAATAATCTTTATGAACAACAGTTAGCTTATAGTTGGCAATTAACAAATCAAGGTATTTTTTTATTTATATACACATAATAAACGTAATATTTTTCTTACTATCACATTAATAAATTTATATACGCTTAAGGTCTTGTCAGAACAACACCGGTACTTCAGCGAACTGAATCGTTAGATTTAGAATTAGAACATCGAAGGGAAGATATGGAATTGTTGGGCCATTTCTTGTACACTCCCCTGACAAAAGTCACCGGCTTTTTAATAATCAACTAATTTATTAATGATCGTAGCCATTTATAAAATATTATTTTTTTATATGCAAATTGGTCTTTGCATAGTAAGTAAAGTTGATAATCATGACGATTTGCATATAATTTGAAATTT